GAAACCTTACTGATGTTGACCGGACTCTGGAACCCAACGTCCGGTAACTTTTCAACTTTCTCGTCTCAGTCGGTGATGAGGGCGAACGTGACCGGCGTCCGGTCGATGACGAAACGACCAGTCCGGTCGATAGTCGGAACGACCACCAGCGTCCGGTCAACACTGACCGGACGCGTCCGATCATGATTCTCCCTCTCTAGAATCTTACTGGAGTTGACCGAACTCTGGTACCCAGTGTCCGATCACTCACCTCTTAGCGTCCGGTCGCATCCAAACGACTTTACCTTGATCGAATGAACTGACCGGACTCTGCGCCAGCGTCCGGTCACAACGAAACCAGCTGTCCGGTCAACATTTGACCCTTCATTCACTTCCAACTCACAATCATATGTGAATGAAGTTCGCTCCAATTGATCTAAGGGCTATTTAGGAGCTACCTAGTGCTAGATTTGAGAAGTGTGCACCACACCTAACCCATTAGACTCACCTAGGTCAAGCTACCCGTCCATACCCCCTTAATAGTACGACCAAAGGAAAAACAAAGTCATAAACTATTCTAAGTGTCTCCTCAACACCAAACGATACTTAGAACTAGTCCATCCTTTGAAAGACGAAACGATTTCCATCATAGGGGCATGACAACCATGATTGCCCAATCAATTGTCATTACCATGACCTAACTTAATTGCATCTGCAAAACACACGTTAGTCACAGTAATCTCGTATTGTCATTAATCACCGAAACTCAACTAGGGTCCTAGATTCTTTCACTATGTACTCCTGCGTCTAGGGCAAATAGAGGAACCTTCTGGTGAGCCAAACATCTACCAAGATGATGTGTCGTGAACAATTTTCTTGAAAAAAAATCAAGTTGAGATTGTCTGCCCTGGTTCTGTGCCTTATACTCCATCAGTCCTGTAATACAGTGCATTCTAAATATTTTATAAGACAACTTAAGGAATCCTCTAATGACACATGTACCCATAGATTAATACCAATTAAGATATTTCTCCATAAATTATGGTTTCCTTTTTAATAAACTTTGCCAAATCTAGGCATTGACACCTGTAGAATGCACTATATTTCAGTACAAAATTTAGTAGTCACAATACACTATATTTCAGGACGGAGGGAGTATTGCTTAGGGTTAATTGGATCTGTGCCGTTTTTTAAGCACACCATTATTATTCAAGAAACTATAAAACTGCCATTGCAACTCTGCAGATGTTTGACATACGCCATTATATACACTTGAGACGACTTGGGCCCACTGTCAGGCGTATAGAGGGGTACCGTATATCCGTATGGACAAAGATTGCCCCCCTATTCTTTTCTCACACACTCACTGACACATGGGGCCCACTTGTTAGTCTTCCCCACCGTCTTCCTCCCTCTCTGTGTTCTCCATCTCCTGCGGCGATGACGCAGTAGCCCCCTCCGTCTTCTCCATCTCCGACTTGGCACCGGCCATGCCGACTTCAGCACACCCCCAGCTCTACCCGCTCGCTCCGGTCACTTGGCAGCGGGGGCGCGACATGCTTGCCCATGCGCGCGCCTAGCGGCAGTGTAGAAGCAGTGTAGTGGCCTGCCTGCCCACGTGCTTGCATCGCAGCAGTGCTACAACGGCGCGGTGGCCCGCCCGTGCGCTCGCCCTGCAGCATTGCCGTGACCTACACACCCACGCGCTCGCATCGCGGCAGTTTAGTAGTGGCGCAAGTGGCCCTCCTGCGCGATCGCCTGGGGGCTACGCAGTGGCCCGCACGCGCGCTTGCCCACCATGGGGGCTAGGGGCTGGGCTCCAGGTTGCTCGACCGGGGGACGGGGCTCCGGCTAGCCAGACCGGGGCAGGCGGCCGACGGTGCGGCATGCTGGGCGGGCCTGCTAACGAGAAGCGGTGGAGGCAGGGGTCGGGCAGCTGGTCGGCCAGGAATCGATGGCTCGCGGGGCGGAGCAGAGGGGGCGGCCAAGAACGAGGAAGAAAGTGTTTGGGAGAGAGATGACAAGTGGGCCCGATACGTCATAGAGTGGGACAGAGGGAGACTAACAGGGGCAAAAGTGTCCATACAAAAATACGTTAGATTTTGGATGCTTGAAAGTGGGCCCAATATGCCTTTCGGTGTACATAATGGTGTATTTCAAAGTAGGAAACAATTGTAACGGCACTGGCATAGTTTCTTGAATAGTAATGGTGTACTTAAAAACGGCGAAGTTATAATGGCATAGATCCAATTAACCCTATTGCTTAACTGGATTAGTAGCTCTGTCTGAATATTGGTGCTGTTTTTGTTTACCTGAGTTACAAGGACTAGTCACTGATGTGTAGCAACTAGCAAGGAAGCGCCAGTAAAGTAATTTCTGCTGAATGGTAGAATCTAGAGTGAAAGTGAATATCATCGGGTGCTGTTCTCAAGTTAGTGATTACACAAACACTAGTGTACTTCAGCACGAACCTAAGTGGAGTGGGAGAAGCTTAGCAACTGTTAAGACAAAACCCCAGCCATACAGACCTGAATATAAATTCCAATCCCCCAATTCTCTAATTCCCAATCTACTTCTCCAGTTCCAGTAGATAGCTAGCACACATCCTTAATGAAATCACTAAAAGTCTACACTTGCACTTGGCTGCAGATTGGTATAGACAAAAAAGACAGCAATCTGTAAATTAACTGTTGAACCTATTCGGTCTGTACCAAGCCAGCCCTTTGACCAAAGAATAAAAAACATTAGTATAACGAATTAGAAAGCCTATCTTCATTCCCTATTCGTTTCGACTAGTTCTGCATTCTCAATTCCACCGAAAACTTCAAAGCATCACACTGAAATCAATAACTCTCTGCATGAAATGGAACTTTGTATTGCCGTACATGGTTGCCAACTTGGATCTGATGTTTAATGAGCAATGGCACCCATGTTCCAACGAACATGGGACCTAGTTAGCAAACAAATTTGAACCTACATCACTACAACAGATACAATACTGATTTTGAGTATTAACACAGCAAAGCATAAAAACTGATTGGTGCACAATAAAGAAGCTTCACAGGTGAATAGTCTGCTGCTCCCTCAGCCACATTGCCAGCATTGATATGCACAAATTTGACTGCATGTTTTCATTACATCTTCCGATTCTTTTCTTAGCTTGCAACCAATTAAAAGAATCAGGTTTCCTGTGAAACAGATGACCCAGGCTTCTGTCAATATATTCTTGAGAATTTGAGATTAAACATCATCTGAAGGCTAAAATTAATTCATTTATGGAACTAGTGTTGGGCTATGATGCATTTAACTCTCACATATTTCAGGAGTCAGGCCTATCTGCTCCAAACACAGGTCTCATCTAGTCAGGGTGACACGAACACACTCAGTGGCATCTCTCCCGAATACTAACAGTATCCCAATGCTATTCCATTGTGTTTTTCAAAGACTAAGGCTCAAGACCCTGGTTTTGGTTTTTGCAAAGACATATTCACAGATTCACTAACAGTATCCCATGCTATTCCATTGTGCTTTTCTTCTTCGCAAGTCTAGGGCTTAGCTGATCACACATTTCTTTCAACATGGCCCTTAGCACATATCCACAATAGTGCACCACAAAATTCTCATCAAGTGCCATATGTCAACATATACTACTAGTTAAAAAAAAGGGCAGACCCAGTGCCGGAGGCTCCCACATGAGTGGGGTCTGGGGAAGGGAAAAACCGAGGCAAGCCTTCCCCCCCGCAAAATCTACGGAGAGGCTGCTTCGAACCCGCGACCTGGTGACTCAGTGAGACAGCTCTCACCACTGCACCAGGCCTGCTCTTCAGCATATACTACTAGTTAAATAGAAGAAAAAAAAACTAAATATTTTATCATACGTACATAATAGCAAGTGTTACAACACCACACTTACACATAAAGCAAGCTTAGAGTGTCAAGACTAAACTAAAATTGCTAAGTCTGCTTGTCACGTTTATATTTATCAGCTAATTCCTTCAGCTTATGGGTTCCCAGCAGATTCAACACGCACATTGGCAAAAGAAGCAGGAGCCATACCATCAGTGGACCCACCTCATCAAGGCCAGGTAATTTTGTGTAAAACAGATAGACGTATAAGACGATTTGTAGCAATACATAAGGATTCTGAAAAACATCCACAGAAATTAAAAATGTTAGTTATGAATTTTGTAACACTACAGTTGCATTTGCCATAATTATCATAAAGGAGAATATTACATATCAGTAATTCTATCGCTAGCATATAGTGATATTACTGTAACAAAAAGAGTCCCACTGAAACTTTCGGAAGGATAGATAGTCTACGCATTATCAGTATAATGGTTGAGGAGCTTATAAAAACAAAAGCATTGGAACCAGTGGGAGAGCTTGAACCAAGCAGCAGGAGAGGGAGGGGGGGGGTGCGCACTTTGGCCTGAATAAAGTTCTGCCTCTGATTGAAACTGGGCGGTATTTGCAACTTCGACCAGATGATACATAGCTAATTCAAAATTGGATTAAAAAGTCATACAAGTCAAGCTATCAAACAACGAAAAAAATGCATGCACAAATACTTGGGCTTCCACAATCCCATGAGTAACAAAACTCAGTCTGCCCCTAACCCTGCTACCTGTTCTCCCTAACAAATGTCCTTAAGTAATTGATTTACCACCACATACCTCTGGACTTATTAACTGAAATGTGAACAAAGCAGTAAAGCAGAGAAGACACTAGATGCCATTTTTGCTAGAAGTTAGGAATATTGTGCGGCAAACTATCCTAACGTTATCCTGTGTAATGCAAGTTCTTGAAATTTGGCTATCACAGAAGTTTTAACACTAGCACAGAAGATGTAAAGATTTTTATCACAGCAGCTTCGAAACTATTTTATATGGCTGAACTTCCCATAATTTTGAGAACTTTGTAAGCATTTTCGGGCTCTTCTAGAACCATATCAATCAACCAATTTTTCTTGAGTGACATACAAGCTCCAAACTGGCTGCAGCAGGTACAGTTCACTGACTTCATTCTTCACTCCGCTGCACATTACTGAACTCAACGAAGCCCAAGTTAATCAAACCAGCAATCGGAGGAATCCTACCAAAGTTAGCACCAAGCATGCAGAGCTCGAATGAAGTGACATTGCTGCTGGTGGTTCTGGTGGAAGGACAAAACTGGAGGGAGCTGATTACAACAGCAACAGGCATGGCGGCATGGGTAGCAGGAACACCGAGTATCACACCTATTACAGCCATCGCGGCAGGCGGTAACAGTGAAGAGTAGCGGTTGTGGTGGTTTATTTGGATCCTCTGAATTATCTGCCCACTCACTCATTTACAGAGCCGTGCAGTGACCGATTCATGACAACGCCTACTGGGTTTGGGCAGCCAGAGCCGGCACCGTTAACTTTCTCGATGCACATCCTCACCGAGGCATGCCCCTCCGCCGCCGTGCCGCTCCCGGCCACAACGGCGACCCCAGTCCCCAAGCGCTGAGTTGGAAACCCCTATAGATGCGCGAAAACTAATGAATTCCCAACGCCACAACTTCCCGCCAGATAATAAAAGAAAAGCATGAATCTTCGGATGACGGCACACGGCGAGGCAATTCTGGACAGATTTTTCGATTTTCTTTCTTCCTCGAACTACAAATAAAAGGGCATAAGGCATCTGTGTTCAGCAACAAGCTGGGGTACGTGCTTACCTTGAAGAATCCGGACCAATCGAATCGTCCTCCGTTCTCCCTGCGTTCTTCTGGCACGCCGGCGCCGCCTTCCGCCTTCCGCCTTCGTCACTTCCATCCCCTCCGCCCCGATTTTGCTCCCGGTGCTAGGAATGCCATCTACCAAGAAGTCAACGGGGCAGACGTGGGCTCTCTGGGCTGGGTATCTAAGTCGGACAGGTGGGCTGGCCTGGCCCAACGGGCGCAAAGACAAGCACTATATATTCTCTACTTATATTAGTATAGTATATACAAAATACCACATAAAATGATTAGAATAAATAAAAAGAAGAAGAAAAATATTTTATTGTAATTTTTTTAAAAGGTGAAAAAATGAAATAGAAAAAGGATATATTTATACCTACTTAAAACATGTATCCGAGATGGGCCTTCGTGGCCGTGGGGTAGTTGGAGGCTATACCTACTTAAAACATGTATCCGAGATGTGCCTTCGTGGCCGTGGGGTAGTTGGAGGCTTGTTTTTTATGCTGAACGGGCCAAATCAACTGTTGGGCCACATTATCATGGAAAAATAAAAGAAGAGCTAGTAAGAGTGGGGGACGACACCTCCAAACCCCTGATTGTCCATCAACCGAAAAGCCACAAAGGACTCTCAGCGCCCATGCTAAAACCTAAGGCCATGTTCGGTTAGGACAGGGTTGGTCGGGATTGTACTCGGACCGTGCATCACGTGAGACTTGTGAGACTTCCTCATGTAAGTTCTCATAATGCTCGTCATGCTTGTTTTAAATCTTATAGTTTTTCGGGAAACTCCTACTTAGCTGGTGAAATTATATCTGCTCAATGTTCTTAAACTGCTTTTTATTTTGCAATCAACACATGGGCAGTGTATGTATCCTTGACCCCGTACATTATTTGCCACATAAACAACCTTCACAAAAGAGTCAATGCCTTCCACGAACGTAGCAGACATAGTTGTCGATGGCAGAAAGCCGCAGGTAGCCATCGGCATACGCAGCAAGCCGAGTGAAACCACGCAGAGCAGATCCCGAGCTCTCTCCGAACTTAGGAAGGGCGACGAACCGGATTATCATGACCGAGGGCGTGCCAGTCAATTTGACCCTGCAATTGACAAGGAGAGAAAATTGATCAGTAATTTAAGGTGAAACATGTCGGTGTTTGTCCAGACAGTTCCAAATATACGGCCAAGTGGCCAACACGATAAGGCTATCGACTAGAGAGTCGATATCCAGCATGTTCATGATGTAATGCAAACAAAACGAGTATATCGGCAATTATTATTTACTCGGTTGCATGAATCTAACTTAGCCGATGATCATGAAAACATGCGACAGATGTAAGGATCGGCGTGTAAGCATACATGTGAGAGACATACTAGCTTTTAACCAGGACAAAAACAAGTAAAAGCATATAAATAGCTAGTGCATCCTCAACAAAGCAGGCTATTGGCTAAAACAGCCGATTCCAGTGATTGTGTCGCACGGCATACGATCACTCATCCGTTGGATACAAATAAATCTACAAACAACTAGACCCAATCTATTGTACCGTCAATAGGTCGAGTCGTCTGATGCAGCATTGACAGTAGGACCCTATATCAGAGACCAGCGGTCGATAGATCTAGTTATGTTGCAAAGGAATCATGAAAGCATGTTATGAGCGTGGAGGCTCAAGCCATCGGTTAAATAGCCTATGGAAACATAGCGGGTGGCTGACGCCATGCTCTTCTTAACAGATAGATCTATTAATCGATAGTGTCCAATCTGATACGCTATCAACAGATCGAGTCGGCTGATGCATCATTGATAGCGGAGTCATACCAGATACTGACGATCAATGAATCTATCTCTTAATAGAACACGACTTCAAACACCTACAATGTATGATTAGGATTGAGATAGATTGCTCATCAAAACAGGATCTAATGTCAAGAATTGAATTCAACTGTGATAGTAATCAGCAGACAATAGATCATAGTACAAGACCAACGAATCTCAATCTAGATCGGGCAATTGGTGATATTATATTAAACAGTAAACTATTTAACACAATATCGATAACTTTGATTAATACCAATGTTTACAAGAGATCCGGTCATCTGTTACAGCCTTGTAAAAGTTGATACAAATCGATAACTAATCTATACCACGATTTGTAAGAGATCAGTCGTCTGTTGCAGCCTTACAAATAATAATATAGATCGATAACTAAATTATACCACAACTCGCAAGAGATCAGTCGTCTGTTGTAGCCTTACAAGTAACAATATAAGTCATGATGGATACTCATAAACAAGCCGGAGGTCAGGTCATCCGATGTAACCCTGCTTGTCCAAAAAAACTCATCGAAATCTACTCTACTCCTACTCCTAAGGGGTGGCCTGAGCCAAAAAGTAAAGGTACTTGATTTGGTTGATCAATGAGAGATGTCTATTACAATAGCCGGGGTCGAATATTTATACCCGAGGCTTGACTATGAGTCCTGGTCGAACAAGACCGATCACAAAATTTAGAAAAGAAAAAGAACTTCCTAATTTAGGATAACTTGGACTCTAATCTTTCCTTTCTATACGGAGTTCGACGTGCCTTCTCGCTTTATGTCATGATGCTTCTTTTGAATAGGGTCCATCCCCTTGGAATAATGATGTCATCTTGACCTTGCTGGCAATTTGGTTAGCCGACTTGTTTGAATATTTCAGCTTTCCTTAATCTCCTGTCCTTGGGGACTTTTCATCGAACCAAATTTTGATGTCAACACATGCCCCCCTAATTTTGGAATAAAATGATTTTATTCTAAAATTCTCCTTTATGACCATTGCACGCGTTGCGCATTCACACCAAAACCTTCGCTTCAGTTCCCGACTCTGGGCAAGAATTTTCATTATATTCCAAAAATTGCCACCGTCTTCTTCGCTTGGTCTTTCTGGCTACATTCCTCCTTTTTGCTCTGCTTGTCCGTCGCCGTAGCCCTCCTGAGCGCCAAACCCTAGCGAATCCAAAGCCTCAACCTTGCCCAAACACCCTACTTATTCTTCGCGGAACCTTGGTGTGGCGGCTCAATTTGGCTGCGCAACACTAACACTTGCTCAAAGATCCAGATCTACCGCCCAAGACTCAATGGCGACTGTCAACTTCGTCCTAGAGGTACGATCTAAAGATTTTTCATTCAATTGCTCTTCTTGCCCAATCCTTAGCTCATAGATCCACTCTTCTTGATTTTAGGATCTCCGGAATGAAATCTTGATCCCTACCAACATCGAGAATGCGTATCTTCTGGGTCCGATGGGCGATCCAGATCAGACTAAGCTCATCAATTTAGAAACAGATAGACTTCTGTTCAAGCGATCCACCATGAGTCCCTCAGCATGGAACAAAACTTTTAGGGCTTGGCCGCTTCCCCTAGACAAGTGGAGGGATTGGTACCTTAGAGTAGCTAAGACCCACCAAACTAGTTGGGTGGCTTATGATCTTGACAAGTCATAGCCCTCTCTTTATCAAACATAAAAGAAGAATGAACCTAAGTTCAAATCAGCTTCATACTTTTGGTCCAATGCCTTCAACGCCTTTATATTTCACTACTAGGAATATCCACTTCTATGATGATCAGCTTTCATCACTGAAGGAGCCAAGTTCATAATTTTAATTTTATGACAAAAAACGGTTCGTCATAGAAGTCGTGTCATTCTTGCAATTCTATGACGATTCTAGAAAATCATCTTAGAATTGGATTGATCTATGACAAAAACTGATCATCATAGAGCTGCTTTGGCATGCGTGGCAGGGGGCAGCCATGTTGGTGGGTGCTTCCATTGGAGATGCTTTCCACGTGTACATGCTATAGCCGGTTCCATTGAAGATGGTTCTTTGGGTACGTGTCACCTTCTTATTGCATAATGTGGCCATCTCTTGTTCTTGCATGTTTTAGGTTCTTACTGGACCACGTGTCGAGACCCTGTTGTTCCACATGTCAGTTTTCTATTGGCACACGGTCATGTTGCGGTTGGGTCACGTGTCATTTCTTCATTGGACCAAGTGTCATATTTTTATTGTCCACATGGCGTGACCACAATACCCCGCGTGTCTTTCTTTTACTCGACCATGTGTCTCGATGCTGTACGTTCGCATGTCAGTATTTTATTGGGCCACATGTCACGCCCTGAGCTACCCATATTTCTTTTTCTAATTTGACCATGTGGTAGGATGGATTTGTACCACATATTTTGTTTGTATTGGCCCACGTGTCGTGTCGTGGCTATTACATGTGTCATTCACTAATTCGTCCATGTGTTAGATTCTTATTTAACAACGTGCCTGTGCCAAATCTACCACGTGCACACCAATCATTACATTAGAGAAAATGATTTCAGATCTACACTGTTGCACAAAATGACTACATGCATAATTATATTGAACCTGAATCAAATAACAGCAGTTCAACTCAGTAGTAAACCAATGACAGAGTTCACATATCAAGCCACCAAAATTTGACATCAAAACAACAAACAAACCACATGTTCACTACATCAACAAGACTAAGAGTTACCAGCACTTCA